CAATTATAACAAATACTATCGTTTATTTATTTATTTTTCTTTTTAAGGATCTTCCTAACAATTATATATATTACATAATATCTAAGGTATTCAGTTGTCAAATTTTAAAAATTAAAGGTATAAAATAATATTTATATAAAAATTAAATTAGAATAGAATGTTAAACTTGATTAGGAATAAAAAAAATGAAGATAAAGGAGATAAAGGACTCCAGAATAATCTGAAAATGGCCACTTCTAGATTCTTATTAAGTTGTGAAGATTTGTTTTTATTTGGGTTTTAAATATTTACATTTACAAATTTAATTATTGGACTTATCTACTAAATTCAAATTTTCGCATTAAATATATATTATTAAGAATTTATTATACACTTAAAAATGTTGCATCAATCTCAAATTCAATATTTAATATATTTAGAAAATATAATAATAAAAAGAAAAGGTTCGAGAGAGGTCAAAACATATGGAATTGTATGAGTTGATGGGTTCATCTAATCTTTGTCGGAAAATTGCTTCCGATTCTCTCTCTCTCTCTCTCTCTCTCTCTCTCTCTCTCTCTCTCTCTCTCTCTCTCTCTCTCTCTCTCTCTCTCTCTCTCTCTCTCTCTCTCTCTCTCTCTCTCTCTCTCTCTCTCTCTCTCTCTCTCTCTCTCTCTCTCTCTCTCTCTCTCTCTCTCTCTCTCTCTCTCTCTCTCTCTCTCTCTCTCTCTCTCTCTCTCTCTCTCTCTCTCTCTCTCTCTCTCTCTCTCTCTCTCTCTCTCTCTCTCTCTCTCTCTCTCTCTCTCTCTCTCTCTCTCTCTCTCTCTCNCTCTCTCTCTCAGAAACAAACAAACTTATCCTGAAAAAAGAAAAGCAAAACAAAGCAAAGAAGCTCGAACACCGATCACAAAAGTGTAATTAATTTTAATATAAACAGTCTTTTAAGGCGTGAATCTCGTTTGACATCCGTGTAAGAATTGAATTCCCATAAGCAAATTACAGACCCTTTGATTGATTAGCTTATTTCAATTAAGAAGATGATTATGAATTTATAAGTAAGAAAACCTTTTTTAATTAACTAAAACCCTAGATGAGGTTTCACGAATTAGATTCAGTACGCCAAGAAAACGTTATAGGTTTAATCTTATTTTTTGATATCCCAATGGCTAAAATGGAGTTGAAAGATGGGTTGGACCTACTCCAAGTTTCCTCCTTTCCTCTCTTGGTACATAGTGTAGAGGTTAGAAGGTTTAAGCTACTAGCTTTCTAATTATTTGTTTACGTGGGCAATACCAAAGTCAGTACAAATAATCTTATTTTCTGAGCTTACCAAAATCTTAATTGACCCCTTTAATGAAGTCTAATTATACTTTTTTTAATCTTGCTTAGGGTCAACCCATGCTTCTCCCCCATAAACTAAATTCCAAAACCGGGCATTAAAGTAATGATTAGTGGCAGAAATTATGTATTAGTTAGGTAAAACAAAAGTGTGGGGAATTGATTTACAGTTCAACAAAATTAAAAATAATGAATCCTCCTTTCTAAAACATTTTGTTTTATACATGTTGGCTCTTTGTAGTGCTTTTTATTCGGTTTTATCTGCAAGTACCTCTAAAAAATTGAGGATTTGTTCAACCACTAATATAATAATCTAAACACCATTCTTCTTTTTAATTATAATATACATTTTGTTATTGTTACTGATGTCATCAGAGTTGTTACAATAAAGTCTTTCAACATCATGTACATACAATCTTAGACGGAAAAAAAAAAACATTATTATATATTGATGGGTATTTTTGGAATGTTATTAGTATAGAATTTGATGTGAAAGGAAAATGTAAGAAGAATGGTGCGCAACACATAAATGTTAATGATATAGTTTATGGATATAAAAACAAACGCAGACTAAAAGCTCTGTATTGTGTAGCTAATAATGCGTTGTTGTGGGCCTTGTAAGATTTAAATGGCCCAAATACTGGCCCAAATAAGCAAATATGGTATGGTGTTGGGCCTTTACATTTAAATGACCCAAACCAGCAAATAAAGCATTGTTGTGGGCCTTGAACATTAAAATGGCCCAATAATGACCCAATTAAACGAATAAATTATCGTTGAGGACCTTGAATATTAAAATGGCCGAAATAAGCAAATAAAGCGTTGTTGTGGTTCTTTAACATGAAAATGGCCCAAAAATTGCCCGAATAACCGAATATGACGTTGTTATGGGCCTTTGACATAAAAATGGCCCAAATAAGCAAATAAAGCGTTTTTGTGGGGCCTTAACTTTAAAATGGCCGAAATAAGCAAATAAAAGGGTTATGTGGGCCTTTAACATTAAACGGCCCAAATAAAGTGTCGTCGTGGGTCTTTGACATTAAAATGGTCCAAATAAGCAAATAAAGCGTTGTTGTGGGCTTTTAACATTAAAATGATCAAAATAAGCAAATAATAGCGTTGTTGTGGGCCTATAACATTAGAACGGCCCAAATAAGTAAATAAAAGCGTCGTGGTGGGCCTGGAAGATTAAAATGTTCCAAATAGGCAAATGAAGCGTCGTTGTGGGCCTTTGTCATTAAAATGGCCCAAGCAAGGAAATAAAAACGCCGTTGTGTGCCTTGGACATAGAAATGGCCCAAATAAGTAAATAAAGTGTCGTTGTGGGCCTTTAACATAACAATGGCCCAAATAAGCAAATAAAACGTCGTTGTGGGCGTTGAACATTAAAACGGCCCAAATAAATAAGCAAACAAATCGTTGTTGATGGATTTCGAATTCCTAAAACAGGGACAGCCTTCTCTCTGCTTTTACCTCCAAACTCCAAACCCCAAACCTAGTTTTGTTTCTGTCGAAAATGTCTTCCTCTTCCCTCTACCGTCGCCTCCATGGGCTCTTCAACCTCCCTCGCTCCTCTGCAGCCAAATCCAACAAACTCAACCCCTCGCCTCTTTCCTCATCCACCAACGAACCCAGCCACTCGCCTCCTTCCTCACCCACAAACAAACCCAGAAAATCGAAACCCACTGCCGGTTCCGCCTCCGCTGCAACCCCTCTCACCGTTGAACGCCGTCTTCAAAAGTTTGTCAGCAAGTTCATAAAGAGCTCCGAGTCCGAGCGCTTCCGCGCCAGGCATGGTATCTTTGACTCTACAGTTCGCCGCCTTGCTGTCCATAAAAAATTCTCCATGATTGAGGATCTTATAGAAGCTCAGAAGAAGTATGACGATATTACGGATGAAGGGTTCGCGATCCGCCTCATTATGCTTTACGGGAAAGCGGGTATGTTTAGTCATGCACGCAAGCTGTTCGATGAATTGCCTGAACTGAATTGCGAGAGGACTGTGAAGTCTTTTAATGCCCTTCTGGCGTCTTGTGTGAATGCCAAGGAATATGATCAAGTTGAAACGATTTTTCGGGATGTACCCCAGGAACTTTCGATTGAAGCTAATGTGATCTCGTACAACATTGTTATCAATGCGTACTGCGAGATGGACGCCTTGGATAAAGCTATCCTGTTCTTCAATAACATGGAAAAGAACGGGATGGAGCCAGATTTGGTTACCTTCAATACGCTTTTAGCTGCATATTATAGAAAGGGTCATTTCTTAGATGCGGAAAACATGTGGAGTGTGATGAAAAACAAGAACTTTGCTCCTAATCTCATAAGTTACAATGCGAGGTTGCGAGGAATGGTTCAGGAGAAAAGATTGCAAGAAGGGATTGGGTTGCTAGCAGAAATGGAGGAGAAAGAAATCAAGCCAAATGTGTCCAGTTACAATGCTCTGATCAAAGGTTTTTGTGACGATGGGAATCTGGAGGCGAAAAAATGGTATTACAAACTGAAGGAGAAGGAAGCTGCTCCGAATCGATCAACTTACAGGGCACTTCTCCCCTTACTTACCGAACTGGGTGATTTTGATATGGCACTTGAACTGTGCAAGGAGGCCATTGATAATCGTTTAGTTATTAATGCAGCAGAGGTGCAGCGTGTTGTTGATGGATTAGTTGAAGCTTCCAAGATTGAAGAAGCAAGTGACCTTGTGCAACTGTGCAATTCGAACAATTATTTAAATTTCAAATTGGAATTGCCTCAGACGAGCACTTGATTAAGTTATTTTTATATGTTTCTTCGTCTTCAATTTTATCCTGTTTGTCAAATCGACTTCCTTTTTCCTCGAGCAATTTGATTAAACGGGGATCTGGATGAATTTTTTATCGAGTTATTACGACCTATTGTGGAAGCATGAACGAGATTGAGAGTTTTTTGGTCTCAGCATCATTGCCATTTGTCTCTGATAACCATAATTTCATTCTGGTTTCAATGGTGCTTACAGAATTATGTACAATCATAGCATGATACTTGAGCTTAATGATAATGCATTTTCGAACGACAGAGGACCTATACGAACAATTAACTGGAAGAGGCATTCAATGAATATGTTAAAACACAGGAAGTTCAACATATCTCAATTCGATACAAAGGGATTTAACTTGTTTTCATGGAGTTTGGCTGGCCGCAAAGCATCTTGTTTAGGAGTGTGATTTGCAAATGACTCGCTTGGTTTCACAGGGAGCAAATCATCTTGTTTAGCGTTCATTAAAGGGACCAATTCATCATCTCTGAAACTCATTGATCCTCGGCATGGAGATCCATATCAGACCACCCAAAGCTATGCGAGTTCAGCGTTCATTGGCCTACCAAATTTTTCGACTGTCCTAGCGTGCGGCGTCAGTTTCTCTTGATAACTAAAAACCATAATGAAACTTTTCCTCCCGCCGCCATTTTCCCAACATAAGAAACAGAAAGAGAACAAAGTCAGCTACATACATAGCCACTACTTTCAACACAGGCCAAACTCTCTCTAGCAGGTCATGGGAACCAGATGACAGAACCAGTTCATGTGAGATCCCATTTTTTGTAAGAGTGTATAAACCTCTCTCTAACAGGTGCATTTTAAAAATCGTAAGACTATTGGAGATGCATGACTGGCCAAACGAACAATATCACAAGGAGCCTTGCCTCTTTTAATCATGTTATATTCCAAATAGCTTTTGGATGGATTGGACAGCTTGAAGAGATGAAGAAAGATAAGTGAGGCAATAAGAGAAGGATTCCCACCCCGCTCTGCTGGAGATGCCCCACTTTCTTGCATCCTGTGTCAAGAATCGGCATCTAAACATAAAAGGAAGACGCAGGAAATTTTTTTTGGAGGAGAAAAGAAGCTTTTACTTTGTTATTACAGCTAAATCTAAGGCATCCCATGTAAGTTTATTAGCCAGTAACGTTGGCCCTTCCCTTTATTCGTATTCTCTCCTCTTAATCTCTCTCGCACCTTATAAAGCTTCCTTCACAAACCATACAGTTCTTGCCTGTGGTTTTTCTTCAACATCTCTGCCGACTGACTTCCTTCCATTTGCTTCTGAAAGAAATGCAGAGAACTTATGGTTTTCTTGTCTGCCTCTTGGTTATTATTATGGATGTTACGGCTGGAATTCTTGGAATTCAGGCTGAAATAGCTCAAAACAAGGTATACGAAGGCTGGAATGAAAATTCTGTACTGACATTCTTTGTTAAAGATCTGTTTTTTTTCCCCTCATTATTTTGTGCACTTTTGATAGGTGAACCATTTGAAAATGTGGATTTTTGAGTGTAAAGACCCAAGCTATAATGCTTTTAAGCTAGGCTTGGCTGCAGCCATACTGCTTGGCATTGCTCACGCCATTGCCAATTTGATTGGTGGGTGCATTTATGTTCGATCTGCTGAAGAATACAAAAGGTTAACTTCTACCAAGCAAATTGCTGTGTGTTCACTCATCTTTGCATGGTAAGAACAGCCTCTTCCCTACCTTCTTCAAGATCGACTCGACCCTTATGGTTCTCTGATGCAATGTTTTCAAATGGTGATTACATAGGATTGCGCTTGTGGTTGGATTCTCAATGCTTATCTCGGGGGCAATGTATAACACAAGGTCGAGAGAATCATGCGGGGTTGCTCATAATCATCTTCTGTCGATTGGGGGGATTGTGTGCTTCGTGCACGGCTTGTTTGCAGTTGCTTACTGTATTTCTGCCACAGCAGGCATCAGGGATGAGATGAAGCCGCCACAGCCACAGGGGAACCCTGCCGGAGCTACAGTCCACGTTTAGCTCTTTGATAAACTTTACATTGTGTTCCTTCTCAGTTCTTAAACCGTAAGATTTAGTCAAATTGACTGTTTTCAATGTCTGCATGTTGCTTCAATTCGTAGCTAGAACCACTCCCAAATTTGGGAACAGCTCTCTCCTTGATAATATAAAATCATATTCCTCTTGTTCCTATCTTGGTTGAGAGAGCTCCGAAGAAAGAAAGAAACTCCCTTTACAAGAACTAATGTAGCAAGTAATATGCAATTTGGAAATGGGGTTAAAAACACAAAAAGTTCTGATCGGACAGATATTTTTACAATTATCTTCAAACTTGAGAAGAAACTGTAAACAATGTTCTAAGATTATTGTATGACTAATAACTATAACTATATTTATATTAAAAACAAAACAAAAAACAAAGGTTGTGAAAAGTGAGTAAGATCATAAGCTGCAAACAATTAAAAAAAAAAAGAAACAAACAGTTCTAAAAAAACTACTCCGAAGCACCCAAGTGAGCAATTGTCACAATATTCATGATCTTTAATTCTCAAACACAGCAAAGAAAGAAAACATTCTACAAACATCTCGAATGATATTATAACTACTCATATCAGCGTAAGACAGGAAGATCTGCTTAACCATGATGAAGAAAATATAAGATAGATGTTTTTAGGAGAACATTAAACTAGAAGAAGCAGACGTCAACACCAAATACATATGGCAGAGTCTAACCAACGGAAGTAGAGGTTGAAGCATAGTCAGTAGGACATTACCCTAAGGCCTCGAGGCAATCATAAACTCAGACAAACTACAAGTATAGCAATCGGTAAATACTAGACAAAACAACAAACAGGAACAATTTGAGCTCTGAATTATCAGCATGGAAACTGTCCAATGTCTAAATCCTTACTTCTCAGATGACTTGTACGCCTCCAGTATCAATTTTGCTTGGTCCCTAATCAACTCAGTCTTCTTCAGAAAAAGTTCTAATTCCGCAACATGCAATTTCTTCCACTCTTCCTCCAGCTCTGTTCTCTTGGATTGCCTTATTAGCTCTAATCCTGGCTTCAAAAAACTTTCCGGCAAGCCAACAGCACCAAAAGACCTTTCAAACGCAACAAAACCATCCATGCAACCTGACGGAGCCTCGTTATCATTAACTTTCATCTTACCATCCTCCTTCGAGGCCTCTGGAGAAGGAAGCAACTCAGCTTTCAGTGAAGCCAGTGTCTTACTGGTGCTACCTCTTTGATTCTTATTAGGAGCGCCATTAACATTAAGCTTCAGCTGCTCCACAGCCGGAGTGCGAGCAAATCCTTCGCCGCCCCATATTTTCTTGGACAGTTCGAAACCTTTCTGTTCGTGGGCTTTTGAAAACGTTGGGTCTGCACCCTTCTTCCCTCTATCGACATTATTCCTAAATTTCTTCCTCAGTCGACGTATCTTATCCACTAACTGGGCCCTGGTTACATCGACGTGAAGAGATTTCTTGATGAAATCATGAAAGGAATTCATTTCTAAAGCTGGGTCAGTACCTTTCTTGGCTGAGTAATCAATCATACCTTTCAGTATAGCAATCTCGTCGTCCTCACTCCACAGTCTCTGAAACAGCTTTTTGGATTCGTCAACAGATTTCTTGGAATCGTCTTCTGCGACTGCCCCATCATCAGCGTCAGCCACAGAACTCTTCTTCGCTCGCTTGGCATCTCTTGTTGTGTCACTAGGGGTCTTGAAAGACGATCTCGCAGGCGTAGCTGAGGCAGAAGGCTTGGATCTGGGCTTTTTCACCTTCGGAGTCTCTTCCATCGGCTTAGAGGCAATAGGCTTCACATTTCGTTCGGATTCAGTATCCGTATCGGAGTCGGATCCGGAGCCTCTTTCCGAGGAAGAAGACTGAGCCTGCGAGTTTGGAACAAGTTCAGATTTTTTAGGTGCGGGTTTCTTTCCGACGGCAGAAGTAGAAGGAAGAGCAGAAGACTTCTTCGGTTTCTGAGTTTGAGTCAGAGCTTGTGTTTCATCTTCATCCTCTTCGGATGAGGAGGAAGATCCGCCTCTCGACCCGCCTTCCTCTTCCTCGCCCGATGAAGTTTCTTCTTCTTCAGAGGAAGACGCTGCCGGAGGCTCATCCAAGGGTGACGGACGTTTGGGAGCCATAACCGGAGAAGGAGATCGGGGTTTCGCCTGCTAGGGTTTGATCAGAAACAATAAAATTGGGGGCAAATTTACGGTTTTATCAAAACCCGAGAAATGGGCCCGATATTGAGTGAACAATTTGTGACCGTCGGATTAGAGGAGATCTTCTTCCGTTAGTCGTAATGGCAACCCCTAAAATTTTTAAAGATTTAATTTTAAAATTTAGTCAAGTTCAAAGGTGTATAAAATATTTTTTAAATTTAAACGATATATAATAGATTTTTAAATTGTAAACAATATATATATATATATATATGGTAGATGTACAAAAAAAAAAAAAAAAAAAAAAAAAAAAAAAAAAAAAATCAA